CCCTGCATCGGGCTCCCTGCTCAGTGGGGAGCCTGCTTCTCCCTCTCCCACTCCCCCTGCTTGTGTTCCCTCTCTCGCTGTGTCTCTCTCTGTCAAATTAAAAAAAATATATTAAAAAAAAAATAATGCTGCAGTAAACATAGAGGTGCATACATCTTTTTGAATTAGTGTTTTCATTTTCTTTTGGTAAATACCCAGAAGTGCAATTACTGGATGGTATGATACTTCCATTTTTAGTTTTTTTTGAGGACCCTCCAAACTGTTTTCCAGAGCGTCTGCATCAATTTAAATTCCCACCAGCAGTATACAAGGGTTACCCTTTCTCCACAGTCTCACCACCACTTGTTATTTCTAGTCTTTTTGATACTAGCCATTCTGATTGGTGTGAGATGTTATCTCATTGTGGTTTTGATTTGCATTTTCCTGATGATGAGTGATGTCGCACATCTTTTCATGTGTCTGTTGGCCATCTCTATGTCTTTTTTGGAAAATGCCTCTTTAGGTCTTCTGCACTTTTTTCATGGATTATTTGTTGTTTTGGTCTTGAGTTGTATGAGTTCTTTACATATTTTGGATATTAATCCCTTACTGGATATATCTTTTGCAAATATCTTTAAACAATTAAATATTCTTGACAGAACCTTGTCTGGATTTTATCTACCATGTAGAGAAATACTTGAGAAGACTTGAAAAAATACTCTGAATATTGATAGCCAGATCATTTTACTTGAATCCTAATGGTTTTCAGTAGCTGGACTATATGTGGTAAAATGTAACTAGATTACATTGCTGAGGCTTCCTATTCAAGAGCCAGAGTATTTGACTTTATCATTGTAGCCCCAGTACCTCATGAAGTAGACGTCTAGCATAGTAACTGTTTTGTGGATGAGGAAGTGTTAGCTTACGTATGCCAAAGAATCAATAGTACAACTATTACACAGAGGTGGAGGAAAGGACAGCTGTGGAACATAATTTCTTATTCTGGAATTTTTTTGGCTAAAGCTAAAAGACATAATGTCAAAATAGTATTTGTAATCTTAGAGTGGTCTCTTAAATACTTTTAAATGAAACCTATAACCAAGAACATATCAAACATTATACATGATGAATGTAGAATAATGGGTGCCCTAAAGAGAGAAAGGAGGTCTTCTTGCTTAGAAGTATCCAGGGAAAGTGAAGTTTTGAGGACCAAAACAGAAGCAGAGAACAACAAAAAGAAAGGAAGCAAAAGGAAAA